GGAGAAGTCCACTTGTAGAGTATGCTGATAGAAATATTTTGATGCTGTATACAAAAGAATAATTGAAAGACTGCTGTTGTATACCTCTTTTTCTCGTGTTGTAAACCCTATTTGGTGGGTTCTTTCTATTCTAATTTATGAAGTTGTGGTCATTTTGGTTCCTTTCTAGAATATATTTTAGTAGTCTGTGTAGGGTTGGTTTTGATGTCATCAATTTTTTTTTCATAACTGGGGATTAAACACAGGCCCTTGCACTTGCCAGGCAAGTGCTTGTTCTACTGCACTATCTTCCCAGCCCTCTCTATGAAATTTTTTAGTTGTTCTTTGTCATGGAAGTATTTCACTTCTCCATTATACTTGAGAGAGAGTTTTGCAGGTTATATCCATCTGGGTTGGAATTTGTTTTCTTAGAAGACTTGTAGTACGTTGCTCCATGCTCCTCTTGACTTGATGGCTTGTGAAGAGAAATGTGCCATTATTCTGGTGAGTTTTCCTTTAAATGTGATCTGCTTCTTTTCTCTAGCAGCTTTTAGTACACTGTTCCTGTGCTGAATTTCTGAAATCTTGATGATTATATGTCTGGGTGTGGTTATAATTGGGTTGAAGTTATTTGGAGTTCTATATGCTTTGGTTACATGAATATCAGACAGTTTCCCCATATTTAGGAAGTTTTCATCTATTACTTTTGTCTATATTATCTTTATCTTATTGGTTATTGACTTCTTCTTTCTCATTGACGCCTATTATTCTTACATTGTTCAATTTTGCACTGTCTTGCAGATGTTGAATTATTAGTTCCTGTGTCCCAGTTGTTTTTAAGAGATCTTTTCATACCTTTTCACTAGCTACAATGGTGTCTTCAGTGACTGAAAGTCTATTTTCACTTTCAGTGAAACAGTTTTGCCAGCATGTGATTGAGGTTTTAATTTCCTATATATCTCTTTGAATCTGCTTCATGCATTCTATTTCTTTCCTATATTGTTCATTCAAGGATTCCATCATTTTTATACTCTGCTCTATTGTTTTCATCAGTATCTTCTTTAGAAGCACTTAGTATTTCTTTCATTACAGTTATCATTTTTTTTACTTCAGAGATTATTTATGATCTGATTTCCTTTATACTTTTCTGTTGTTACTTCTTTATTTCAGACATTATAGTTTCAGAGATTTCAGGTGTGTGATTTTTAATTTCTTCGATGCTACTGTCTCCTGCATTTGTTCTGGTTGGGCTTGGGGCCTGAGAATGCATTTTACTCCTTCTCTTTATCATTTGGTATAGCACTGTGTTCTGATTTTTGTCGTAGAGCTTTGGTAGAGTTATTACCTTAGTACCAGGTCCAGATCCACCAAGTTCAAAGTCATCCAGGTGGGTGTGGCTTGGGATTGGCCACTGTGCTCCACCTCTTCCTGCTGCACCCTTTGGGTGTGAACCCACTGTGCCACTCTCACAAGTCATTCTGCTCCTGGATCAGCTGGATGTGTCTTACCTCTACCCTCTCTAGAGGGAGTTCATCTCCAGGGTTCCACACTCGGCCTGTCTGAGGGACAAATTGCACTCACACTCTAGATCTGGGCACTAGTTTGAATGAGGATCTGGCAAACCCCAGGCAGTCCCACTCAAAGCCAGTCCTGGGTCTGGTTCATGTTTTGAGAGGTTCTTATTGCACTATATATGAAAAAAAAAAAAAAAAAAAAAAAAAAAAACCTTATGTAAAAAGTTATAGGATTAGATTGTGGTAATTTATCAACTAGTGTAAAGTCCAGACTGTTAAACAAAAGATTAGGTAAACACTGTATGAACAACTGCTCAGATAAAGAAGGTCAAACTCTAGGGGGTGGAGAATGAATGTCCAATGGAAAACCTACGGAGAGCTTTATAAGAAGAAAATATTTTCTATTTATTCAGATTCCGTATATGGTCCATTGGAGTGGGATTCTCAGGAGCAGTGCTGGTGAGGACAAGTGCATCCCCTTGGGTCAGGACAGAGATCTCCTTGACTGTCAAGTTGCTGTCCTTCCATGATGAGACTCTATGCTCTGTTTTTGGTATCTCTTTCTGTTTGCACAGCTTGGGGTGAGTATTTTGAAAATAAAGATGTCTGGGATTGGGGACACATTTATGAATCCAAGTTTTGAGCAGTTACCTTTAGAGATGTTATAAGGGAAGGACAAAACAGGCCTATTCTTGTGGGGCACCCCCTCTAGCCACAGACTCGTAGCATTCAGACAATAGAATTTGATCTGCATGAAATGAGACACAGTGGAGGATAAACACCCTGAGCTTCCAGAGCACACAACCAGTGCAGAAGCACAATGAACTGATCTCATGTCTCACCTATGAAGCTTAAGAGAGCACACTTGTCATTCTTAGTCCAGACATGTCTATCCCCTCATTTAAAGAGGCTTAGGATTTCTCAGCTCTCTGTTCTTAAAGAAGATGGTCAATTTTGTTGTGCCTTTGTCATCCATTTTTTTCAGTAGTCTATAATATAAGGAGGTCACTAGTACCTGTCAGTATAAGTCCCCTGGGGTATATAATATGGATGAAATGGGTTGTTAATTTTAGAGCTATTTGGGAGATCCTTTGTTATAGACTAATAAAGTATGCATCTCTAAATGAGTGGATGGCAAACTGCTTAAAGAAAAGAGGTAAGCGGTTTGTTTTTAGGGCTCTAGGAAGTGGAAAACCCTTTAAAAGATTCCATGATTCCTTGTGGATAGAGACAAGGTACTTGTCCAGGCAGTCTGTATTTATTTAGGTTCTAAACAACAGAAGGGAATAATATCACAGTGGTAGGAAGAGAGCATTACCTATTGTGTCAGTTCAGACTTATCCAGCTAGTATGTTTGTCAATCAAAGGGAACTGTCTTATGCCCAGCATTCAGCTTCCATAGCTAACCCACTTTCCCCTGATTTCAGCTAAGAATTGTCTATGACTGAAAAGAGGAAGAAAGCATTATCAATTTTGCTTGAATATGTGAAAAAATACTCTTAGATTCATAAAGTATTTGAAACTAATTTTTAGAAGCAAATGAAATTCTGTTTATGTTTTTTTTTTTTTTTTAAGTTTTCATTATGGCTGGTGAGATGGCTCAGTGGTCTAAAGCACCTACTTAGAACAAGCTTAGCTAAAGCACAGGGACTGTGGTTCAATCCCCCAGCACCACATGCCAGCCAGTCCCGCCCCCTGGTGGGCTGAGCTGGCCACACACACACACACACACACACACACACACACACACACATAAATAAATAAAAATCTTTTTAAAAGTTTGCATTATTCTTGCTATTTAAAAAAAGTTCCTCAAAATTATGTCAATCCTGAAGGCAAACTACAGGAGAGACTGTAGTTATATAATTGTAACACAGAGTTACATTTTTAGTTGCCAGCTAATATTATTGTATCTCTTGGTAGAATCATCTTTATTTCTTCTACCCTTTACTCCTTATTGACTTATGTGGTTAAATCATTTTTTGAGGTAGGGAAGCAAACAGTTTCAGTATTTATAAACTTGTTTTCTTAGTACTTGTAGGATTTTATAGGTCTCTGTTTCTGTTGTCGTCTGTCATTGGACTTTTGTTTCCTATCATTTGCCCAAAAACTATTGTCATATTGTGGACATTTTCAGAAACTGTTACTTTTCCTTCCTATATAGTAAGAGGGACACTGCTACAGGCCTTCTAACATCAAATAAATTCAATGTCTTTCCAGTGTCTGCATAAGGGAGATCTTAGCCTAAGTGAAATGGGACTACCATTTGTAACCCTTAGCTAAAGTAATTTTATATTTCTTCACAGTTCTCCAGCACAATGTTAATATGAATGCAAGTCAAAGAATGGTTGAAAGAACTGTGAACCATTTTATTCACAATAAACCTTCATACAAATGGAAAAAAGAAAAAAAAAACTGTGTGTGGAGAGCCATTGGTCTAGTGGCAAATATTGGGTAATACAGAGTTAGGTAAAAGCACAGAAGTGTTATGCCCTCTTTTGCTATATAGCAAAACAGGATATTTGGACATGTTTTATACTTGACTTTCATTTTAATCAAACAAGACAAAAAAGCAATCTCTCTCTCTCTCTCTCTCTCTCTCTCTCTCTCTCTCTCTCTCTCTCTCTTAGAACCGGGGATTGAACTCAGACCCTTGTGCTTGCCAGGCAAGCTCTTATTCTACTGAGCCATCTCCCCGGCCCCTTCTTATCTGTAAAATAGCTATATTGTAACATATTTCTAACTGTATGTAGCAATAATGCTTATCAGTAGTTATATTGCTGCCTATATTGCTGTCTTACCTCTCAGCAGCTATACTGCTCTGGAATAGAGAGCTTCAGCCATATATGTCTTTGCCTGCCTCAGCTGTGGTTTTATCTTGATTTCAGAGCTCTATGCACATGCTCTTTTCCAATGTAGCTAGAGTTCTCTGTACTCAGCAATTTAACCCTATACGACTGAATTTCCAACAGTCATTGTCTTAGATGATTTGTGGAAAAGAAGAATTAGAGGCTTAAATTAAAATGGAGGGTTTTCATGGAAAATTTGAAGTGTGGTGAGGCCATTCCCTGAGGAATTGGTGTTCACTGCCAAGATAGTTTACTATTTAAAATTGTGAAGACAAAAGATCTTGATGCAGTGGATGGGATATGGCACAAGAAGCAGGTGTGAGGGTTCAGATCGATTGGACATCACAGGCCTCACAGATGATAGGATGAGAACAAAAATTCCACTGTTGGTTAACACAGATCTATCATAAAAGACTTCAACATACAGGTGTGCCATTTGATAAGCAGAGAAATTGCAATTCAGAGGAATACGTACTCTCCGAAGATAATTGGTAAAATCATGTCCTGATCACACTGGTCCTGAAGCCAGATAATATGTAAGTATTAGCCTCCTAAGATCACTGACATCAATAGGATTTTACTTTCTCTCAGGCTATGTAGCATTGTGAGAGAACTGGTATGGAGTAAAAAGCTCAGGAAGAACCTAAACTTGGAGCAGAATTGTCCTTTACTGCTGGTTGCCATGGAAATTCCATTTATTTTCATATTCAGGAAGTCCATATAGGCTGCATCCACGTTGAGAGTCATTTATGTGTAACATAACCTTCTTCATGCTAATCTATCAAGCCTTGTTTGAGAATCAACTTTAAGAAATCAGAGTGTGTGTCTGTCCCATAGTGGACAATCTTTCTAACCAAAATGGTGACTACTATTGTTTTCATTCTTGTTGAAGTCTCGCGAGACATTCAAACATTCACACTGGGATATCTGGCTTCAGCCTACTTTATGTAGCTGCAGTGTTATCGTTGACCTAATCCAGACCACTTCTTGAAATTCCTGCTTCACCACCCTCCCCTCTTTGAAACACTCTGCACTCCTGCCAGTTCCACTGCCTCTTCTCCCTTGGCTGCCCTGATTCTGTGCCCTTCTCCTGCCCCGTGCTGGTGGGTGCTCTCAGCCTCAACTGCAGCTATGTCTATGTTTTATTCTCAGAGCTTTCTCTTCTGTTGCACAGGTTTTCAATGAAGCCACACACATGTATGATGTGCTTATGCATCTTCATCTGGATTACTGTGCCTGACTCCCACATGCCTCTTTACAGTCTTGTGACAGTCTAATTGTATTCCATCGTCTTCACAAGACTCTGATTGAGTCTGCTTTTAAATGTATGTAACATTTGGAGCCAGCATCATAAGGCTATTTTTTCTCACTTTTCTTTGAGGAAACCACATCCTTTCAAGGATTGGATCCTCCTACATAATTCCTCCAGCACATCTCTCTTTATATTGCTAACATTATCCTCCTAAGTATAAAGAGGAATCTGTGTGATACAGAAGCCTAGGAAAGCATAAAGAAATAAGGAACTCTGCAAGGCCATGAGAAATGGAAATCTCCATATATTTATTTCCCAGGAAGTGCATCTTAATGTGATCAATAATATATAGCAATAAGAACAAAAGAAATAAAGAAATATACCCTTAATAAAATGTCCCATTTCTTTCTCTGCAGAAAGACCTGTTCAGGATACTGTTTAGGTAAATTTTACATGTCTATTATGCCCTTAGTATAAAAGTTTCCTGAAGTTTATTTGTTCACTAGGAAAACACACATTTTTAACCTGTCTTTTAGGGCCTTTTCTGACATACCTGCACATTCCACAATTATATTTCTCTGTGCTGGATTTCATCTTATGATATTCATTTGCTGCTTTCAGCTTCCCACCCAAGCCCGGCATCCTCTCTCCTCTGCCCTTTATACATTCCCATCCTATGTTGAGTTGTTTACTTCCTCCTGGTGTTTAGACTGTGTGTGGCTCTTTGTTCCCATAAACTCAGAATTCCTGAAAAAAGAGGCCACATGCTCTGCACGCTTGCATTCATCATGCAATGCAGCACCAGGATTCTAATGGGCACATATTTCTAAGGTAAGGGACACATACTGTGCTCATTCCCAGCTTCTCTCCATTGTGTACAGACTTTTGCCTGGAATTTTTTCCTATTGTCTGTTGCAATTTTCTTCTCTATGTAGGCGTTTGAGATAGCAAGGACAGTTTTCCTTATCCTCACTTTACTGGAGAGGAATCTGAGACCTACCTAGTTGATTTGGGGGAATTATTCAAGCTTATGCGCCTAAGAAGAGGCAAACAGCAACTTGAATAAAGTTCTAACCTCATCCCTTTGATGTGTCTTCTTTCCTGTCTATGTCCAGCAGGGCACCCGTCCTCACCACCTGTGGTGGAAACCATGTACGGCAAAGTCCTGGGAAAGTATGACAGCCTGGAAGGATCTGCACAGCCTGTGGCTGTTTTCCTGGGAGTCCCTTTTGCCAAACCTCCTCTTGGATCCTTGCGATTTGCTCCTCCACAGCCTCCAGAGCCCTGGACTTATGTGAAGAACACCACATCTCACTCTCCTATGTAAGCCAGTGGGCTCATTCACAGGAGATGGTTGTGTTAGAGGGATGGAGGCATGCATGAGGAGACAAAACATCAAATGTTTGATTTAAACTGTGTTCTAGAATTCTCTATAATACTGTAGACTCTTAGAAATAGTTCCATTATTTCATCATGTTATGGTTCCGTTAAGAATTATTATTGCACATCTGATCTACTTTCTGAGAAAACATTATTGAACAATACAAAACACACCTGGTCATGAATCGTGCAACTGGCAGAGGGAGAGATAAATAATATGCAAATTAATAACTGACTTAGGTACTCTAAGATATTATACAGAATTCTGGAGTGAGGAGTGATCCAGTGAGAGAAAAGACATGTAATGATGATGTCTATTCTCCCCTCTTAAGCCTTGGAATAGCTGAGAGGCAGTGGTGGATGACAGAATGATGTGGTATAGCATATGATTTGGGGTTAACGTCACAAGTTCTTCTTCCCAGGTGTGTCTATATTGCTATGCTCCAGTTGTCATGAATAGGTGAAACAAAAGTTCTTACCTTGTCTAGTTCATAGCCACCTCACAATCACCCCCAGTGCACCTCAGTCAATGGCTATCTGTTGGGTCTATCAAAATCTTAGAACATTTCTTACAATGTACTTGAAGATAACCCAAAATAGCATGAATCTTCCTGTCCATGTGAACTTGGAAGGTTCTCTAAACTCATTGTTCCTCAATTTTCTTATCTATAAAATGCCATAAGTAACAGAGCCCCTGCCTGTGGTTGATCTGTAATTTCAATGAGTTAGTTCACAAGAACTTAAATTGGAGGGTGGCACACAGGGATAATTCAATATGGTCAACCAGTCTTAACCTGTGTTGGATCTTGGAGACCTCTTATTAGGGCAGCACACTGGATCATGCATCTTAGTGTGCTGGATATGCAAGACTCTTAGAGAAAGTACTCACTTTACTTGGCTCTTACAGATTGGGGCCCTGAATATAAAGAAATTCATTCAATGTCATCCAGCACTTCTGGTTTTCTGATGCTGTCCCAAACCAGCGGGTCAGTCAATGAAGGTCACCTGTGGGAGAAGCGGGGAACTGAAGAGGGGACAAAGGACAGGAGACGCGAGAAATGAGGACAAGACATGATTCTTATCAAGTCCCGTTTATTTAGGGGAGGTGCTGGGTATATATAGTGGAGGCATAGGGAAATGACGTGGGCGGGTAAAAGGCGTAACTAGGCAACCGGACTAAAACAGGAAGTCCCACCTCGGGGGCATAGCAAGAAACTTATGGGAAATAGGAGGGTTGAGAAGGACCATAAACTTAACTCAGCAGGGGAATAGAATGGATAGCGGTTAATGGCCTCCCACATGATTCACAAATGAAATGCAGTTTTCCAGTGATTACTTTCAAAATGCTTGTTGAATATGAATGTCTGCTATTTGGCAAAGTTCCCCTAGGTGATGGAAGTCTACCAAGGACTAGAACTTGGTTAGTTGTTGGAGGAACATAATTGCCTAGCACTGCAAAAGAGAGTGGGGCTATCTTGATAATGAAGGAAACGCCATTGACCAGGATCAATCAGTTCATACACAACCTTTCGTCCCTGAAAAAGAGACTCTCCAACTCTCTGAGGGAAAACACTAAGTCTTTACCACACTACATGGTCTGTAAGGTTCACAAAGTCCCAGGGTTTCCATCAAGACCTCTAGAAATCTCTTGCTCAAGTTAATTCCTCCATTCAGGCATGGTATTTACATATATAGGCTTAAACTTCCTTGTACAATGTTAGGACATAGGTCACACTTGGTGTTCCATCTAGTTAAAGTTTATGTTCTTTCTTCCCTTTTAGGTGTTCCCAAGATCCAGTTGTAGGGCAGACAAGTTTAGACATGGAGAACACCAGAAAGAGTATCACTGTCACGTTTTCTGAAGACTGTCTGTACCTGAATATTTACACCCCTGCTGACCTGACAAAGAAAAGTAGGCTTCCGGTAAGCCTGGGAACCATTTGGTAAGACTGGTGAGTTCCAGCACTTGGATCATTCAGTACATATCGGATGGTGATGAAGGATTCTTGAAGCAGGAGCACCACAGGACAGTGCAGATTCATGGGCCCAGAATTTCCTTTCATCACAGGAAATGCACATTTCCATTTTATGTTCTCTTGATCATTTAACTCATTTGGGGGAGAATTATATCGAAATGGAATATATGCTGTAGATTTTCTAAGTTCATCATATTAACAGCAGGAAACAAATAATTATACTTCATTACTAGTTAGCTGAGATCTTTCTAATCCTATATAGCTAAGGTTTAATTTTGAGGTAAGATAGAGCTGGAAATTATATTTGAGAAAACTGAACAAACCCGTCACCTTAATGGTAAGCAAACTGGATGGAAGATGAAGGAAAGGCAGTCACATACAGGGAAGGCAAAACAAGACATTGGATCTTCTGATCATCAAACCAGTGTGTTCTAACTGGCCTAGGAAATGAAGCACATGTGCTGGTTTCTGCACACAGCACCTATGTCAACTTTCATTATCCAGAAAGTACAGTGAGGCCTTTCACTCTCCTGTGGCAAAGGTGTTGGTGAGATTTGCTCACACCTCCCTGATTGCTTTGGCTCTGGCTGATATTTCCATGAGTCAGCATTTATCCAGTGAATTAAAGGTCAAAGGCGAGGCAGATTACAATTGTAGACCATGGGATGTGGAAAGCATACTGCAAGACAGGACATAGTCTCCAGCAATATCCTATTATAGGTCTCAGTTATTGTGCAGAAGTTTGTGATCTTAGGACTAGAAGTTAGCCCTATATGTGCTTTGTAAGGCATAAGGAAAGGGGAAAATGTCCCTCATTTATTGATTCATCGATATATTCATTCATTCATTCATTCATTCATTCACCTAATTAATCACTCACTCAGTTTTCTCTTCTATACTCAGTGTTACTTGATTCGAAAAGGAGAAATATGCAACTATGCCCCCATTCATCATGCAGGTCCTTCCTTCAAAGATATTACAATCTTGACCACATAGCTATCTGTTAACTGCTCAGCATATCATTGACAATCATTTCTAAGGCTCAACCTCCACTCAATGATGACTCCATTTTTGCCATGGAGATATGCTCATGTCAGAGGTTAAAAGCAATGGCGGAGGGTGGGGGGGCTGCCCCTTAGCTCAGTTCTTTAAGTGGCTGCTTCAACAAAGCAGTCAGGCTCAGGTTGCTGTGGTTCAATCCCCACAACTCAAGCCAGCCAAACCTGCCCTGAAGACATTTGGAGAAAAAAAAAAGCAACAGGGTCTTCAGGAGATAGAAAACAAGAGGGATTCCAGCTATAGACAGAAGCTAGAACTACAGGATTCTCCTTTGAGTGAAATATACCTGAGAACAATTTCTTAATTTCTCTCAAACTTTGTTTCATCAAATAAAATAATGCCTATGGGTATCTGGTTATGACTACCAAGCTTTTTGGCAGTCTGGGCATGTTCATAAACCGGCACCAATGAATACAATAAGAACTGACTTTCTATAGTGTAGCCATTGATGGCAGTCAATAGGAAGCCTAATACCTGAGTGCTGGACCATTCTGCATGGGCAAGTTCAGCAGCTACCGGTTAATAGCCATGTCAGCTTATGCAGATATTATTTTCCAGATTTCCCCTCTGTTACATGGGAAAATATTAGTGTTTGCCTGATGAATGTGTTATTTAAAGACCTTAATATAGGCATGGAGCTATTTTAGTGGATTTTTTTTATTCGAAGAATTACTGTGTGGCTGTTGTTTTATCCTCCCACACCATCCTTAAATGTTAACTTTTGAAATACAGTAACTAGGACTATGAGCTGCTGCATCCCCTCTCATCTTCAACTCTGATCTCCACCCTTGGCACATAGTAGGCTCTCAGATAATGTTAATTAAATCACTGAAGATTGATGAAGGAAGAGGGGATGAGGTAGGCTCAGGAAGGTGGGAGGATTTGGAGTTAGAGAGAAGGCATGGAAAGAAAGATCACTGTCCAGGGCATTATGCGTCTTGAGAGAATCATCCCTGCATACAAATTTAATTCTCCAATAAAAACTAAACTAAGATGAAGCTGAAGTACCAGATCTTCCCATGATCATGTCATCTGGATGAATGGTCAGGCAGAAGGGTGGTGCAGTGTTGGGCTTTGTGGCTTGCATAGTGATATTCTTAGGAAAAAACAAATAAAGTCTGGGGAAAAAAGAGGGGACACTCAGGCATATTGAGTAGGGTGATGTCCTGGAACCCAAGTGGGAGAGTAGAAGAGCAACAAAGAAGTCATTTGCAAATGTGATGGCCACTGTGAAGTTTGAACTGTGGGTGTTCTGAGTGAGGGATGGGAGCAGAGAATGAAACCAGACCATGTCTGAGATCCTTCCCAATTCTGCTTCCTGTAAGCCTTGTGGATGTGTCTGTGTAGGTGCTGGTATGGATCCATGGAGGTGGTCTGTTGTTTGGTGGAGCACCACCCTACGATGGACTGGCTCTTGCTGCCCTTGAGAATGTGATTGTAGTGACCATCCAGTACCGTCTGGGCATCTGGGGCTTCTTCAGGTAAGATTCTGGACTCTTCACACATTAGCTTTTGTGTTAGTGTGTTTTCTGTGACATGAAAACTACCTGATCCTAGATGATTACTTTAAAGTAACAAATTTATTTGTTTTATTCCATCACCAGGGGTTTCATTCAATTAGTCTTTGGTGATAGTGCTCTGGCTGTGGCACAGAATGGTGGAGATCAGAAGGGGAATATTCAGCATGTAGAATGTGTCACAGGAGCCAGGGGGAAAAGTCAAGGGCAGGCCTGCTGATTCATAGCACATTGTTCTTTTCATAACTAACCAGCATCTCATGGGTTGTATACTAAACTCTTCTAAGGGCAGCAGCCCCAGTATTCCAAGCTACAGGCACATTAGGGATCAACCCTTCAAAACAAGATCCCTT